CATAAAAAAAAAAGCAACTATACCCAATGTTCAATGGACCCCGTCCGACTACCATCATTGGGAGAGTCAGGCGTGTACCGGCAGCAGGGTTACTTCGACGATTCTCGCGGATCCTCGATGAGCGACCCTCGGGTTGACATGATCTTTTTAGAGGGCACCGCTGTTCTCGGCCCGATCCAGCTCCTTCTTAATGGCTAGGGCAGCATGCTGCGCGATATCTTCAAATTCCTGCTCGGTCCTCGCGTTATCCAAGTCGTCAAGGTCCTTCAGGTAATCAGATTGGTCAGGCTCATCCTCGGCGCGGGCAAGTGCCTCCTGAGCTTCCTGATCCGCCGTTTCGGCAAGATCATGCATAGCTTCCGAGACAGTCTCCGGGTTCCTATCAGCACGGCCCGGACTGGCAAGCGAGGCCGCAGAGCCGGGCGTCGGATTGCCAATGGCGTTACCCGCAGGGGACACATTGCTGTGAACAGCCTGGCTGCGGAGGCTCTGGGGGCTAGCGAGAGGGCTCCGCTCGTGGCTGATGTTCTTGCGGCCTGCACCTGGAGGCGTAGGCGAGCCGTCTCCCTTCTTCAGGATCAGGAAGGGCGGTCCAGCGGGAGACTGTCCAGCCGAGTGGGCGTGGGGCACAGCCGCGTTGCTGGACTTGGGGGTATGGTGCTGTGACGACGGGGTCTGGTGATCCTCGTAGTTGTTGTAGCTGTTGCCGAACAGCCTAGACACAGGAATGCTACCATCCTGGTTGGGTTGGAACGAGTACGAGCCGTAGCCGGCGGCAGGCTGCTCGTAGTGATGCCTGTCGGAGGTCTCGTACTGGTTGTGCTGGGATAGGTGCGACGAACTCTGTCCCTGCGATGCGTTGTCCAGAACCTGGTGCAGATGCCTGGAGGTATCGACAGGTGACTCGTTCGACTGCTGGAAGCTGCCGTGGCGAGAGCCCTCGTTTAGAAGAGGCTGATCGTTTTGGCTGGGCTTCGGGCGGTTGAGGAGATTAAGCAGGTAAGTGCGTGTCTCGTCGGGCGGCGACGCAGCACCAAAGGTCGCGGTCGGCGGAGTATCGTGTTGCTTTGGCTCCTCGTTCTCGTGGCTTCCGCTCATGAGAGCACGGAGGAGACCACTAGGGTCCTGCGACGAAGGGGCAGGGGCCAAGATCTGCGTCGGGAAAGGAGCAGGGGCCTGCATAGCAGGACCTGCCTGGTGCTGATGCTGATGCTGAGCTTGATGATGCGACTGTTGGTGGTGCTGGAGAGCGTGCTGCGGCTGTTGGTGCTGCTGCTGCTGCTGCTGCGGCTGGTGCTGCGGCTGCGGCTGGTGCTGTTGAAAGTGCTGGAACGAGTCCTGACTCTGCTGGAAAGTCTGGGCTTGAGCCTGCGACGGCTGGCCGCCAGCACCGCTGAACTTGAGCAAGTTCAGCAGGTTGGAAGTGCGGTCACCAGTGGGAGGAACCATGGCGCCGGTGGGAGGAGTCGGAGCTGGAGGTGGCAAAGGCGACACCATGTCGGTGCGACTTGAGATGGTAATAAAACGCGAATGGGCAATGTGAAGAATGGACGAAAGGGGCGGGCGAGAATTGAACAAGAACACCCTTCCGTCGTCGAGGTGGTGAAGTGGTGACGATGTGGTTTTTGTTTCGCGGTCGGCAGAAGCCAGCGACGAAATTTGGGCAGATCAGCCTAACCTAACCGATGGTAACGGGGGAGGCTGGCAGGAGCGGGATCGAATCTCAGCCCAACCGTAAGTAGTCGGTGGCCGCCAGCTCATCAACCCTGCAGCGAAAAGAGCAAGGGTGTGACGCGGTGAAGGACAGAGGTGGAAGGCGGTGAGAATGGGCAAACGCAAGAATTAGGTCAAAGGAGAGAAGGAAAGGTAGGGAACTGGCGTTGGACCAGTCAGAAGCTCTGGCGCCAGAGGGCGGAAGGTCGGACGGCCAGGCCCGACACGGCGGAAGACCGATGGAGCAGAAGTCACCCAAACTTGATTGGATGATCGGGTGCTTGGGCACCTGTGCGAGTGCTGGTGAGTTGGCAATTCGAATGGAGGAAGGGATGCTGAGAAGAGGGAGATTGAAGGTTTCCAAGGGCTGCTGAAGAGTTACATACCTGAAAGTCGGGAACCCGACGATTTACTTATCCTTACTTTACCTTAAGTAGGCACCTTAGGTAAGCTCGATGCCACTGCCTGGCTTCCGAATCTGGTAGTAGCCTCGTCGTGTCGTTGTCGATCGATGAGAAGATATGTCGAAACCACGGCTGCCAGCTTAAATAGGGACAAACGACTACTGCAGGCTGCAGTGGTGAATTCCTGCGCCTCTGTGCCGTGAGATGTATATGATTCGGTAAATAAAGGCAAGGCAAGGTGTAGTCACTACCTTAGTCGAGGTATGTAGCAAAAGGTGATCGATCAGTCCAGGTAGCAAGGAAATCAATCAGTTAGGTTGTTGGCAATGGTCGCCTTGCTCGTGCACGGGCCCATCCAGATCGCGGCTGCCGATCCTGTTAAGTCTCCGTCAGCGATGCCTGCCTCTTGACGTTGCTGCCTCCTCAGAATAATAAGTCAACCCACCTTTGCTTCCGAACCCGCAGCCACCTCGCCACGGACACTCGCATCATTCTGGCAGTACAAAGCCGCTTCATCGGGAACCAACGAATTCACCCTCCTCCACCATCACCAACTCTCGCCGCTTGGCTGGTTCGAGAGAAAAGTGGCATCGTCCTGTGATCGCCATGTTCTGTCTGCGCAGGTGAGCGACAACTCTCCTCTCCCCCCCCTCCTTACGATGCGGTTCGCCAGTCCTGTCTGCCGCTGTTTGTCCCCTGAATCGCACCCGTCATCCTCTCGCCATCCCTGCCCGACTCACAAACGCACACATACATACACTCACGCATGCGACTCGCGACTGACACTCGATTCCTTCCAGCTGGCTCCCCCTCCTCTTCATCCCGACCAACGCCTCGCCGGCCTTCATCCTCCTCTTCTTCGTCTGCACATACTTCCTCAACAGGCCATGCGTCTACTGCAGCTTCCTGCTGCTCATCCTCTTCTTCACCTCCTGTAACTGGTCTGACCGCTGTTTCTTCGACTTCAGCGGCAACTGGTTCCAGCCCCGAGCGCCGCCATCCACATTGCCCGACTTTAGCGGCAACGACACCTACGCGCTCAACGCCACGGTCGAGGTCCTCAACACAACGGCGAGCGCCCTGGCCGGTGCAGCAGCGGACGAGTTCTCGCGTCGCAAGCAGGAGTGGACTGGTCTCGGCATCGAGTGGCTGCGCAGTTTGCTGGGCAAGAGAGAGTGGAGGATAGACTGCCTCGATGTAATCGTGCGGCTCTGAACTGGGCCGTCAAGACGGCATGTGGAGGCTTGTGCCGAACGGACAGTACAGATGTGATTGTGGTATGACGACATTTCTTGATATGGCATTGCGGTGGCGTTTGTGGATTGGATCGCTTCTTTTACATTTAGAGGCTGGTTTTCAGGCAAATTCGGGAGAGAGCATGATGATGGAGGATAACGTCGCTGCCTTTTGGCTGTATCATTACCCTCTGACGGTGAGGAAGCTTTTCACGGGCGTTTTATTTTCGTGGGAACTTCCCTAAGCACTTGCATGGTACCAAAATGATTCGTTGCGGCACATCAACCATTGGGATTTGTACGAGATATGCCCCCTAAAGACATGGAAGTGATCCGCGCTTTGTAGATGGCACACGGGGGCTGCGAACATGCAAGGCCGTCTCCGGGGTGTCTCCACGTCGCGGAGCAAAACAAGTGCCCTTGATGTAAGACAGTTCACGCGGGCGCATGCAAGTACAGCCCCGTGTCTGGCTCGTGCAGGTTTCGTGTAACACGATTTTGTGCGGTCAAGATCTATAGCTATTCAAAGCTTTCATCCAATGATAAGCGGCGTTTGCCCCGGTTGAATACCCTGCGAAGGTCTACTCCTTGTGCTTCTGCCCTTTTCTGCTGAATTGATGGAATGTGTGCATCCGCATTCATTGCCGATTTGAGGGAGAGAATCTGATGTGCTGTGGGTGTGCGGGGTTTCGAGGAAGAGTCAACTGTGACTTGTAAAAATGCATCATGTAAGAAAAGTCAGCCCAAAGTTATGTCACGTCTTGTGTTTCTAGATACTCGGTATACAACGTCACATAGGATGACAGCGGCAGTGTCGCGGTATCACAACTATAGATCGGCAGATGCAACCCTAGCCAACGCGAATGCTATAGGGCTACGTTTCAGCTGATTACAGCGACTAAGCATTGTTCAATCAGACCAACCACATTGATCATCGGCCATTTTCTTCGAATAAGCCTGCCTCCTTCTATCAAAACACTTTCTACAGAAATGTCATGATCACGTCGGGAGATGCTGTCCCGGGTGGACTCTTCGTATCATTCCAGCATACTTGAGGCGGAAAACAATTTGACCCTTCACGATGGATGATGCATAGCCTTTGCCTCCCAGATATAAGCGTGTACTTGTAAGCTTGGATACGAACATTCCATCCCGGAGATCCACAAGCTTGATATCCTGGACCCAATCGACAGTCTTACTTCGAGTTCACTTATCACTCAGTTTGCTACTCTTCTTGTCCGAAGCTATGCATCCATTGTCGTTTGACCGCTCACGACTGGTTGGACGGAGCAACATGCACATTGTTTGGCCGATCCCCTCAGTCTTCAATCTAACGTATTGGCTATTCAAGCAAGGCGTTAGACATCTCTGTGTTTGCTCCTTCAGAGACTAGCCAAATTACTGGTGGTACTCCCTGCTTGTATTACAAAGCTTCGAGGGCCAACAAACCAAACCTAAGTTCGTATGCCAGGGGGTGCCACACTTCCTCATCCTTATTTCAAAACCGTTTACGACGACATCACCACCCGAGTATAAGTTTAGCATCTTGAACAGGCCGAGACTTCTGCTCCTCTAGATTGCCAGCGAACCTCCGGACATAAGTTGAGAAGCAGGTTGAGGGGCTTTTTATAGACTTGATCAAGCACGAGGGCATCAGGACGACTGCCACGGTCAGTGGCTCGATTTCATCTACAAGATCAACGCTGTGTCGAGAATTGCCTCGGCGCGGAATGTTCTAGATGCAGCTAGCCCAGTAGACACTACTGTCCGGTTCTCGCGGCAACAGACCCCGACCTCGCAGCGAAATTCTGGCGCGGCCGAACTTATTGCTATAAAGCATTTATCAACCTCTTCGTCAGCGGCACTACTTTGCGGACGTATTACCATCCTTTCGTGCCTGGCCTCAGGGTAAAGAGGACGTTGTTGCTGGAAGTGGAGTGGAACGTTTCCGTAAATGTCCTACCGGAGACCTCGCTTCCGGTCTCCAGTATGATGATATCTCGTGATGCAACGAAGCTGGTTTTCTTCAGTGCAACCAATTTGAACGGCTTGACAATGCCATGAAAAGGAGGGGCATTGCGTGGGCCGACTGACAACTTGATTCCGCGTTGCCGCCTGGATTGTGTTACCAGCAAGTGCGGAATCGGGAGTTGTGCGATACAATACTGAAAGGGAGTAGCTTTTTGTATTCAGCAGGGGTGGAAGGGTTCGTCCGGGGTTGCCGGCAGAAGCGGCATTTGACAAATGGTCACCAGGATAAACCGCCACCTGGCAAGATTACTGAACAGGCGCTGTCACTCCCTGTGAATCGTATTTGGTTCTTAATCACCAGTGCCGTGTACTCGAATGCAACGTCGTCTTCCAAGTTTGTCTTCAGAATTCGACCGGGGCGGTCACGAATCGCATATTATCCAGCAGCAAATGGAATCATCTGAACAGATGGATGCAACGGCGGCTGTTGGGCAAAGCTTCAATACGCACATGGCTTCAATCGGTCCGTCATCACAAGACCTTCTGAAGACCGGCAGTAAATTCGGCGTATCTGATTGGGATGTTAGTGAGACGCGCCTCGGATTCGGCTTGAGAATGACTTGCTGCCCTCTATCGACAGGGGTTGGAGGACACGCCGAGTTCCATGTCGCGCGCGCGCACTGGCGTCCAACGCGAAGAGCACAAAGGTCACGAGCTGTCAGAGATGCTGGCGTCATTCTGTCTGCAGCCAGCGGGGTGGCTTGTCGTGGCGGGGACGCGGGAAGGTGAATGCTGTGGCAGGCTTCAGGAGAACTCTTGGCCCCAGAGAGGATTTTTGGCGCAGTTGACACCGCCTCCACCTGGAGGTCTTGGGGGTTATCATGATTGGTAAAGAACGGTAATTCCAAAATTGGAACACTGTTTGCCAAGGCACCAATACGATGCAGACTGTTCGATGAACTGAAAATAGCTTTCATTCGAAAAAGTAGTTCATCGGAGTGAGAATTCTCAACTTGAAGGAAAATGTCGTGTGGTGCGGCGAAACAGAGACGCGATGCTTCGAGAGAGGCTCGCCTTGACGTTGGATTGCCAGGAACAAGGGCCCTAGCGGCGCCGAGGGCCCGGGGTTGAGTGTCTCGGCATGTGGGTGGGGAAGCAACACACGACCACTACCTACGCAATTCGGAACAGCCCCACGTCCCGCTTTCCGCGTGTACATAGGAAATCCCAACGCTCCTGCATCCCCTGTCATCTCGACCGCATTGAGGGCAGGCACACACGACCACCCAAGAGCCTTGACGTCGGGCGACCAAAATCATGCCCTTTCCTCTGGCTGGCGGTGGACACCCCCGATGTACCTTATCGGTCCCGGACTACCCCCTCTTGCCCCTCTACAGGCCCATACTCCGCTTCAGAATCTGTCTGGTACCTTACTTGCTGCCAAGTACGTGGCATTCGACATGGCATAGCTTTTGCTCTGCCCAGCTCCGCCGCCACTGGCCAAGCAGCCGGCTTGCCGTCTGACACCCACAACATGATGTCTATCCAATGTGCCCTCACGCTGTCTTCTTGGCGGTCATTCGGCGCCCGCCGCAATCTTACAGCCTCCTGTGCTCTCCCCATGGAGCACACAACTGGCCACTTGAGTGTTGAGGGAATGGTCAGCACATCAGCAAGCACGAGGGGCCAAAGATGCCACTGTACCCCATGTCGAACCGGTATATCAGTGCCGTGCTCGCGCTATTGCCCAGGCTCATGCCCAAACCCACGAGACGCAAGACCTAGGCTTCCCCAGTCTTCCCTTTCTTCTTGACTCACTTGGCGGCACCCACTTCCATCCGAGACGCGCGTTTCTTGGCCTCGGACATCGGGCTCATGTTGCCATTGCATAGTTGTGCCCATGACTTCATTCAAGTAGACCTACTGCCCTCTTGTCCTTTTGGTCCTCAACAGTGCACCATCTTTCAACCTTATCAATATTTCCCACGCCTCTCACAGGTTCTGACGATCACTTCCTTCGTATGATAATCTCAAAGCGCATTTCTTTCGAAATCGAGCCGTCCTTCGTAAGATCAGCAAGAATCACATCACTGATACCAAGAGCATCTCGGGCTCTTTCGCGGCTGCCAACGACCACGACCCTGACCTGGGGTACCTCCCGGCTGTACTAGCTGACGACGGAGGCGGCCTATTCAGACGATCCTCAAATCCATTCAACATGCGCTTCTTCGCCTTGTTACAGACTCTGGTACTTCTCGGGGCAACTGCTACAGCTTATCGACTTCAATATCCCGACCACGATTCCAAGACGGGAAAGAGAGGCCTCGAGCGCCGCGATGGCAAATACTTCCACGAACCCTCTGGCTCTCTCGAATTAGGCCATTACGATGCCCGCTTTTTCAAACAGGCACTCGACTACGACGAGCATCGCATTGTCCTCCGGAACCTTATTCGCGCCTACCTTACCGTCTGCTCTGAAAACAAAGTCGAGACCTGGTTGGCCCATGGGACTCTCCTCGGTTGGTGGTGGAATGGCCAGGTCATGCCCTGGGACTACGACTTGGATGTTCAAATGTCTGCGGCTACTCTCGACTGGGTCGGCGAGAACCTCAACCGTACAGAGCACTTCTACAACTGGACCGGGACGGACAACAGCCAGCATACAAGTCGTTACCTTCTCGACATCAATCCCCACCACATCGAGCGCGATCGTGGCGATGGCCTGAACATCATCGATGCTCGTTGGATCGACATGGCCAACGGTGCTTTCGTCGACGTCACCGGGGTTGCGGAACGCGAACTGCCTGAAAACCCCGGCGTCTGGTCGTGCCGGAATTCGCACAGGTACCATACGACAGACCTGTTCCCTATGCGGCAGACCGAATTCGAGGGGTTGCCTGCGATTGTTCCGTACAGTTTCGAACGCATCCTGATTGAGGAGTACGGCGACAGGAGCATCGTGGCAACGGAGTGGGCAGGGTAAGTTCAGCCTTTTTCTCCTGATCAGAGTGGCATGAATAGACTAACGGGGATAGACATCGTTGGGTGCCTGAACAGAAAGCGTGGGTCAGGATGGATTAAAGTCCGCATGGGTTTTGTTGTGTGATTTGCGTCGATGCGCACCCCACAAATCGGACGCGAATGGTGTTCTTTTTTTTATTGCGGCTTACGCACGCCAGGCTTGCGTGGATGGCGTTCAGGAAAGGGAGTTTGGCTTGTTTAAAAATCCCGGCCCGGACGTCGAAAGGCCGCCGTCTTCGGCGTGGTTTGGGTGGCTGCCGCTTGGACTCGGAAATACAGTGTACTGCCGGCAAAGCATTTCTTGACTGGTTTCTGTACGTTGACGATAGCATGAGATACCCCCACTGTCGCCCTTTATACCTCACTCAGTTCGTCTCCGTCTCCCGAAACGGATGATGTTGGTGATGAATGCAAGCCACTTGCCTTTGTGGCAGCCATGGAGCAAGTGACAGTTTGACGCCTCTGCCGATCCCACTGACTCGTCTGTTATCTCCCCGCGGCAGTAGCAGCGCCGCCCACATTCCGTGTGCCGGCACTAGAGGCTCCGTACCTTTCTGCGGCCGCGAAACCTCCGACCTCGCGGCAACTAGCCTCGACCCCGCAGAATGCGCGAATATGATACCAACCGTCATGCTCGATCAGCAACCATCGATCTATTCGAATGGTCGGTTAGCTCAGTTGGTTAGAGCGTGGTACTAATAATGCCAAGGTCATGAGTTCGACCCTCATACTGACCATTTCCTTTTGCTCTCATCGCGATTGAAAGCCGCCAGAATTTTCTTTTGTTGCTTGGAGAACAGCCTCGGTATGAGGCACGTTGCACTCATCGACGTGAGACGGGTGGCGAGGCGCATCAATACTGGCTCTGGTTAACATGGAAAAAAACATAGAATGAAAGCTTAGGTAGAAGACTGGGATAACGATATCTCGGAAAGAAGGCAGACACAACCGACAGTCTTTTTATGTCTACCGCAGGCTTTTTCTAGTGGTGTTGGCTCGTCTCCCCGGTCAAGCGTCGCGCTCTGCAATGTTGGCTGGCAGCCAGACGTGTTATTGGAGACATTGAGGCTTCAAATACAATAGTTCACTCGGCGCCGAATAATGACTGTGGTGATGTGCTGTTGCGACACGGTGATACACACACCAGGTCTGTCGCATGGTTGCTCGCGACACTTATGTGACTAACTCATGCCTGTCCAAAATCCACTGCTTCGATCTCCCCTTCGTCTTTCTTGCACAACAGTTCGCGCTTTGTCTCACGCATGTCTGCATGGGGCCAATGCCCGAATGACTTGAGATAATGGCAAGTCTTGCCATTGTCCCTCGGACAGTCTCAATGAAGGTGGTCGCTGGAAGCTGAAGATTCGTGTTTGGTCTCCAGTCTGTTCATATGTGTGACTGTAGACAGAAAGAGTATGAAAGTGCTGGACCAAGGAAGTACCCTCCGTGTCAGGGAATTTCCTTTTTATTCTGGTTTCTTCTCAACCCAGCCACATGGGATGGATGAGAAGCGCGCATTCGTACTGTAGCTCTCGGCAAGGTGGTCAGTAACCCAACGGGCGCCAAAGTGAAGGGCAGCGCATGGGCCACCTGACAGATCCTGGATAGGGGGCACGGGCACGCACGTCTGACAGGGAATGGAAGGAAGACCACCCACTTGATGCCTGGCAGCCTCATCGCTGGCGGCAGCCCCTGATTGGGTCAATCCCCAGCGGCAACAGCCACGGGAAGACACTGAGGAAGCTCCATTCATTGAACCCCCTTGCCCCTAAAGAGAGGCAAGCAAGGTACAGAGAGATGCACTGGCGAGCTGGCAGAAGGTACCTCCCCTGCCCAGGCTCGAGCCACAGCCAGAGCCAGAGCCTGCCAAACCAGCCCCCATCTCCTGTAGTCGTACTGGACCTGGCACACACGCACACACACACACAGAGAGAGAGAGAGAGAGAGAGATAGAAGAGCGAGGGCGAGTGTCCGCAGCGCTTCCGCTATCCTGTCCAAAAAGCCACCAACCCAACCTCGCGCAACGCAACGTAGCGCAACCACACGACGCGATCTACGACCCGAAAAAAAATCGGTGCTGCTTTATGAGCCATCCACCGCGCGCAACCCAGGACGATTGACGAACAGCTACCAGCTGCAGCTTCCAGCACGCTGCCTCACTGTTCCTCGGCCCTCGCCCAATCGCATCTGTCACCCACCAACCACCACCACCAGGCCCTGGTCGTGACGCTTGCCGTGCTGCTGCTCCCAACTGCACACGACACCTTTCCGCCCGAGCTTCAGTCGTTCGCCGTTGATCGCAACCTCGATTGTGACGAACACCTGCCCTCGCATCGCCGCGAGCTCCACGAAGACGCTGCACGACCGATGCAAACCCAATAATCCCATTTCGTGCCCCCTTCCGTCAATCCTGCAGCGCGGACCACCAGCGGCTCCTCGAAAGCCCTCCAGACGGTGGATAGACACAACGGCCACTCTGACGACTCTTCTCCGCCCCTTCCCACTTCGCGGCGAACACAGCATACCGGGGAGCAGCTCCCCCACGCGCACATGAGCTGGCAAAACGCCGCGGGCATGGGGATGAATCCGGGCAACGGCATGGGCGGCGGCCCCGGCGGCGGCGAGATGGGTGCTGCCATGCAGGGCAACGGCAACGGCCAGCCCAATGCCACAGAGTACACGTTGCAGGGTGCGTTTGAGCCCTTTCCCTCTTTGTCTTGTTGCGAGATGGAGGAAAGTGCATTGTCGTGCTAACCCGATGCCACAGGCGTTATGCGCTTTCTGCAGACCGAATGGCATCGCCACGAACGCGACCGAAACTCGTGGGAGATTGAACGCCAGGAGATGAAGGGCAGGATAGCGAATCTCGAGGGCCAGGCAAGACGGGCCGACGCCACCCAAAAGGCCCTCAAGCGCTACGTCGGCATCCTCGAGAAGAAGGTCGTTAACCAGCAGGCGCTCCTCAAGGGCACGGGCTCCGTTTCCGACATTGACGAGGAGCCGGCGAAACGCGAGAAGGACAGGGCCATCCGCATTCAGGAGAAGCTCCATGGTGAGTCGGCGAACACTAGAGGACCCGAGCTTGCGCTGACGAGACCTCAACAGCGCTGCACAAGGATATTGATACCGACGATGAGGAGGACAAGGGCGAAGACGAACCTCAACGTGCTGACCTCAAGGCCTTCCTCGACCAATGCCAGGCCGAGTTTGCATACCTCATGGTCACACCTGCGAACCCCCTGCCACCTCGCGACTCTCCACCATTACCCATTCTGGAGGACATGGCCGGCCCCGAACCCTACCAGCTGTCCGGTCAGCCCCCAGCGGAGCCCTCTTTCCAACAGCAAATGCGACAGTCGCAGTTGCAGACTCAGAACCACGGTCGGGAGATCGCGCGAGCGCCCTCGGCCCCGAATCACGCGCCGCCAATGCAACGCAGCCAGCCCACGACCTTTCAGGTGAAGCAAACGGAACTACCTGCTCAGCAGGCTGGGAACTCGGAAGCCGAAAACCCACCCGCCATGTATGCTGCAGGCACAGAATGGCCGCAGCCTGTCTCCGTCACCACTCGTCTCATGGATGATAACCTCCAGAGGCCAAATCACTCCGTCGAAGCACTCGGAACGTCTGAGCACGCTGAAGAAGTAGCCACGAAACAAGTCCTCCCCGAGACCGATGGCTGGGAGTTCCCCGATGGCGCTTTCACAGACTCCAACGCGACGCAGCCTCAACAAGCCCAGCAGTTGGCTTCGACCCGGCCAGACACTGACGTTTTCCCCAGCGCAGAGAACGTACCTAAGTCGCCTACTCGAGGGCCAGGCTCGCATAGGAGAAAGGGATCAATGTCTCGACGCCGCAGCTCGGACCAGGAACTTTCACTGAACGCCCTGTCTCTCAAGCAGGAAAGCACGAATTTCAAGTTGCGCTTCGGCCTCCGCGGACATCTTGACACTGTCCGAACCGTCATATTTTCCGGAGGTGGCAGCCCAGGAGAGCCGGAAATCTGCACCGCCGGCGACGATGGCATGATCAAGCGCTTCCACATCCCTAGAACGGAGAGTCCAGTCGGAGGGTCTGATCTGGACGTTGCGGCAAACTTCACACACAGGGGTCACTCGGGAGCGGTCCTTTGTCTGACGTCGTGGTCCCCATCGCCAAACTTCTCTACAGGCGGGAGAGCGCAGGGAGATGGTTGGATTTTCTCGGGTGGCCAGGATGCCAGCATCAGAGTATGGGAGCGAGGGCGAGTTGATCCCAAGGCGACCCTCGACGGCCACACTGATGCGGTCTGGGCCATCTGCGTACTTCCGGCAACACTGGGTGCCATCTTCGGACAGTCGAACCCCTACGGCACTCCCGATCGTATCCTGGTAGCGTCAGGTGGTGCTGATGGAACTGTCCGTCTGTGGGCCGTCAGCGCGCCACCTCAACTCACATCGCCGCAGCCCGGCGCGAACCGAGCCGCTCCCACAGGCAGCAGAGGCAGGGTTCGAGGCAACTCAATGAGTTCAGGAAGCGCGTTCCCTAACTCGCCACAGCCGACAATGGCCTCCAACTCTCCTTTCAACCACACGCTTATCCACAATATATCGCGATCTGACGGCTCAACAGCCAGCCCGACTTGCATCACACCCCTCAGCCCGACTGGTGAGACATTTGTCGTGGCTTATTCGGACGCTTCTATCATTGTATACGATACCCGCTCTGGCGAGCAGACTGGTGCCATGGACAGCCTGGAGACGTATGACGGAACCATCGGCACAAGCGTCAACTCTGTCGTTGCTACCACTGTGGGCCTGGAACAAGGCCAGCATGCCAGCAGCATGTCTGAGGAGGACGCGTCTACCAGCGGAGGCCCGACAGGCGGCGGCAGGACCATGGCCAGCTCCGGCGTTGAGGGTGTAGTGATTTCTGGGCACGAGGACCGGTTCGTGCGCTTCTTTGATGCCAATAGCGGTAAGCATATGCCATTTTGTTATCCAATCCGGGCCTCCATACTGACTCACACAGGCCAATGTACATACAACATGCTCGCACACCCAGCCTCCATCTCGGCGCTGTCACTCAGCCCCGACGGCCGCGAACTGGTCAGCGCCGGCCACGATGCTAGCCTGCGGTTCTGGAGCCTCGAGAAGCGTTCATGCACGCAGGAGATTACGAGCCACCGCATCATGCGCGGCGAGGGTGTCTGCTCTGTCGTTTGGAGCCAGGACGGCAAGTGGGTCGTCAGCGGAGGTGGCGACGGTGTGGTCAAGGTGTTCACGCGGTAGAGACGACGTCGCTCTCGCTTGCACATCCGTCGGCATAAGCATAGCGTGTAGGGTAGACCTTTGGGAAAGGGACGAATGGCGCAGGGGACCATGGACATGTCAACCACCGGCCAGGCCAAACCTCGCCCGGGCGTTCATAGTGTTCTTGTAATATGTAACTTGAAGGAAATGTGGCCACGAAGCCTTCCGTGCCCTCTACTGGGTTTTGGAGCGTCTGCGTATTTTAGGCCTGTCTCATACATCATTTCGTCGTGCTATCTTGTCGCTGGTATCATGGCAAACCGCCGAAAACAAGGCAGAAGCCGCCGTGAGTTCCAAAACTCCAATTCCTCCACCTCCATGCCGCATCCAACACACGTTTTGACCGTCATGCCCTCTTCGTTCTCACCGTGCGGCCCCACTCATGCACACCTTGCCGCCCGACACGGCATCACCAAACTTAGTCGGACCGCCGGCGGCCCCCTTGGCGGCCTGCCTCCGGAACGCCTCGGTCCTCGTCTTCCTCTTGAGGTCCGTCAGCTTCTCCTTGAACTTCTTCTCCTTCCGCGCGCGCTTTTCGTCCTCGCGGCGCGCAAACTCGGCGTCGAGCTTCTCCTCGCTGCCCCACTTTGTGTTGAAGGCATAGTCCTCGACCTGGCAGCGCAGGAACAGCATCATGTCGTGCCAGTGGCTCTTGTGCGGGTTCGGCTTGTTGAGGTGCGGCAGCAGGTCGGCGTCGCGCAGCTCGCCCTCGGTGAGGAGGTAGTCCTCGCGGCACTCCGTCTTGTGAGGAGCGAGTAGCGGTGGGCGTGGCGGTCCTTGCAGGGCCCGCAGACGCAGAGGCCGAAGACCTCGGCCCAGACGTGGTCGATCTCGGGCGAGGCGCACTCGCGGCACTTTTGCGCCGCGCGCACCGACGCATCGCGGAGCACCGAAGAGCGACGGCTCGAACGGCCCCGCCTTGTGCGCTGCAGCGCGGCGCAGCGTCTGCAGGCGCTTCCCACTCGCCGGCCGTCATGCCCTGCGGCCTCTCGGGCGGGGGCGGCTGGCCGGGCTTCTGACGGGGCGCGAGCGCCGGGTTCGACGGGTCGTCGTCGAGGGAGAGGAAGCCGCCTCGCGTGTCCGTCATGGCGGACATGTCGTAGTCGACAAACTTTGTAAAGTTGCGTGCCGGCCGCAGCGACTTGGGCGCCGCATCGACGCTCGGATTTTGCCTGGCGTCGCGGACCGTGTCGGGGCGTGACCTTAGAGGAGGAGGATGACGACGATATATCGCATGTGTGCGTTTGCGCGTGTTGGATGTGGACGTTATCGGTGGCGATGAAGCCGGAGGGAGTCTTGTCGATCCGGGCGCACCGGATGCCAGACGAGCTTGTTCATGTTCATGCTGTCACGGATTGCTTTGGCGCGCAGACGTTCTCTTCTGTCACACGTCAGCTGGATTCTCGATGCATGGGAAGGTTAATGGAATGAACATACAATCCTGCGAGTCACTGCTGGTGTGGGAGGAGACACAACGGGTGCAGACTGGGTTGCCCGTGGTGGCGTCTTTGGCCGTTCCATGGTTATGGCCGCTGACGTGTATTTATGAGGCGGGAAGCAATGAGCCGTGATCCTGAGGCAGGTAAGAGGATCAATGAATGAGCTGGACTCCTACCAGATGGCAGTATTGTCTGGTGTAGGTAAGGCTAACAGAGTCAAGTTTTGGGGGGCAAACTTTCAGAAGAGAGCCGCGGGGCGCATCCAAAACGATTATGTCATGGCTCGTTGCTGTCGCGAAGTCACGTGCGTGGTTAAAGTGGTATTTGGTGCATGTGCTTCAGGGAGCTAGACACTAGAAAGCTGTCTGTGTATGGCAGCCACAGCAGTACATCTACAATTGTTACGACCAAATGGTGTCGAGGTCGCCATGGCCAATGGAAATCTGTCAGCCTACGCGCGTAAACTTGTGAAGGGCCTAGGGATGTCCTCGGCTGCAGACAGGGCATGATTGCACCAAGGGCGATTGGCAGGGCGAGCTGGAGTTTGGGTCATGCTGGATGCAATGCGATTTCAGATGGGCTGAGACCAATATACCGGTCATAATAGTACACTCCCAGGGCAAAATCTACCGATCCCACCATATCAATCATCAGCTCCCAGGCGCCAGCGGCACGTCTCGCAAGGTGCACACGTATGCAATAGGCCCCAATGCCCTCCGGGAAAAAACCCCCATGGCCCTTTCTTGTTGTGATCGATTGGTTTACTCCTCCTTGACACCACCACGGCCGGAGCGCTCGGCGGCCTCGACGGCCTTCTTGTCGCTGGCGGGGCCACCACCCTGGAGGCTGCTCATGAAGCCGGCGGCGGCCTTGAAAGGGCGCTTAAGGTCGCCGACGGGGGGCTGGCCCCAGATGTAGATCTTGGCGAGGTTGCTCTCGAAGGCGCCCTTGAGAGGGATAATGGACTGGACGAGGAGGGGGTTGGTGTACTTCATGTAGAGGTGCATGAAGCCCATCATGGCGACACCCATGGCCTGCGAGCGGAAGGCCTGCTTGAGCTGGGCCGAGTCGTAGGCGTGCACGGTGGTCGTAACGAGCTTGGGTTCCTCGGAGGAGCCGACGGGGGCGGGCTCGACGTACTTGAGGGTCGTCATGTCTGTGTGTCTGGTTAGTCCTGGATCTTCGCAATAGAAAGAAATAGCCAACATGGCCTGCGTGAGCTTCGTGTTTGACGTACCCTTCTTGGCGTTAATCTTGGATTGGATGTAGAGGTAGACGATGGCGATCAGCAGGTTGCTGAAGATGTAGAGCGCGCGGCATCCCTGGAGGACGGAAGGGTCCTCGAAGGGGACTTGCGGGAGACCTGGATCATGCCGAGCATGATGATCAGGTTGGTACTGTGTTGCGCATCCCCTTGTTAGCGTTCTGCGAGGCGGTTGTGCGGGGACACGGTGGGCAACGCATGGGGCGAGGAGACGTACACTTGAGCGCTGACCATTTTGGCGGTAGTTTGTTGTGTCTGTCGGAGCGAGCTGGTGTTGGGGCAGGCAATGGATTCAGACAACTCGGGTCGAAGGAGAGGGTGGGAAGAATGGGGGATGGGGGATGGAGTTTTGGAGAAGATGGTCGTGCGGCGCGGATTGCGAAATAACTTTAGCGGTTGGCCCTTTCTGCAGCGAGTTGGGGTGGCGGGCTTCAGGGTGTCCGGCTGCGGGCTGGAGGGCGTCGTGCAGCCCGCTATGGACAATCTCCGATTATGGTAGACCCACTCTGGGTAGAGGCCACGTTCGCGGTCGGCCTCATTCGCGCCTCTCTCGAGTGCTCGAAGCTTCCATTTGAAGAATGTGCTAGGCTTGACTGCTTGTCATTCACCAACCCAGTCAACAGCTGCAGAGAAACGATGGCCTTATTTGAGACTATTCAATTGTTTTTGAACCATGTAAACAGATTAAGTTTATCAATGACCGATCTATAAAGACTCCAGAATACAACCTTGATTGTCAATGCATTCATCGTTTACCACAATGGCCTGCCAAACCATTATCAGATCCCCAGAAGCTTGCCAGCCCAGAACGATACGGATTGCGCACCAGCAGGAATGTCCAACGCCAGATGCATCGCCGGCATCCTCGGCGCGCTCCCGGCGTCGTTCGACGGGTGTGTGCCCCCGAATTCCCCGGACCGCGACCCCCACTCAACTTTCGCAGTCTCACGTGACCAAGTCGTCGCCCTGAGACCCCGGAAAAATATTACAAGCTTCGACATGACCGCGTCTGGCCCGCCCGAGCTGCGCAGCCCAGCCCGTCAACGAATAATTTACGTCAAGCAGGCACCATGCAGGCCACCAGGATATTGTTCAAGCGTTCCGTGTGGAAAGGTGAGTTGCGCCTTCACCTGCGCTACTGTGCGTGTGTGTGTTCCAATTCCGCTGACACTTGCTGCCGCAGGACCGCACATCGTGCCGTAAGAATGCCCTGCCGCCTCGCCGTATCGTTCGACCGACCTCTGACCTAGCTCGACAGCCTCCCCATTGTCCGCCCCCAGGCCGGCAAGAAGGCGCCCATCATCAGGACGCAGCAGCGCTCCGCCACTATCCTGCCCAACTTTGTGGGCCTCAAATTCCAGATCTACAACGGCAAGGTCTACCACGACGTGACCATCACCGAGGACATGGTCGGACACAAGCTGGGAGAGTTCTCGCCGTGAGTCGCAGCCTTCGGGGAGATACACAACCAGGGACGGAACAGCAAGACTAACAAGACACAGCACGAGGAAGCCCTTCATCTGGTCTAGGGCGTAAGAGACTGTCAAGAAGCAGGCGTGCATGCACAGGCGTTTAGGGGGGACATCGAGTTTTAGTCTGGCCATGTTGTTGTACACTACATCCCGATCCGAATTGTAAAAAAAAAATTGAACACCAGCCTTGGCTTCCCATGATGTTAAATTCTTCGACTGCGGCCGCCAGGCCTGATGCTACTACAACTTCTTGCCTTGTCTCTACCTGATGGGCTGCAATCTGCCTGATGGGCTGCAAAGACAGCCGTGATACCCCGAGCCCAGACCCATCCAAGGGTCAATTCCACCAACGCCTCATGATCATTGTAAAAAAGTCAAATCAAACGCCTGAAGCAAACCCATCCGTCGCCTTCCGCAGGGCCAAATGCGGAATTGGCTGGCTCAGCGGTAGAACTCGCTCCTCTTGACGTTGACGCCATACTCGCCGACAGCCATGCCCAGATCCTCCATCGTCAGCACCGTCCTGTTCTGGCTGCCGCCCTGTCCACCACCGCCGTAGCCCGGACGCTGGATTCCCAGAGGACCGCCGCGGCCCTGGTCCTTCGAGGCTGCGCCCGTCGGGCCCGCGGGCTGGCCGGGGATCGGGAAGCCGGCGGCGGCGCCGAGGTTACCCATGGGATTGTTGGCGTTAGTGTTGGAGGCGCGGATGCGCGAGTACTGGTACGCGTCGGCCGCAATATCGGCGACGAACTTCTGCGTTGCAAGGGCGAGCAGACGCGCGAGGCGCGGGTCCGTCTGTGGGGGAGGCGGCAGGCCGGCTTTGGTCATGTAGTAGTTTGTCACGGCATCGGGGATCTGAAGCGAGCGCATGTCAGTGGGGGAAAGGTCCACGTTAGGCGGTATAGAGGGAGGAGGGGGGAGGGCGAAAGCATACAATTGGGGCGTAGTCATCCATCTTGGTGAGGAACTCGCGGAGCGACATGTCTTTGCGCGTGGGGAGCTTGCCCTCGGGAACAGGCGCAGCCTGCTCGGCCTCCGCCTCCTTCTCGCCATTTTGCTCGGTTGCGGTCTCCGCCTGGTCTGGCTTGTCGGCAGTTGTGACGCCGTTGGTGGCGGGCGCTGGTGATACTGTCGCGGCAGGCGCAGGAGCAGCGGTGGCCGGCACCACGGGCTCTTCGGAGGGTTGGCTTGCCATGGTTTTGTTTGTGAGAATTGCGGCACCGCTTCGATGGAGGTCAGAAGCACAAGGGTAAATCGGTCACGAGGCTGCTGTCGCGAGTAGTTGCTTGACGTCGGTGAGGCTGCGCTAGTCTGGCGTCAGTCCCAGTGAACTTTGTTAGGTAAGCCGTGTTTCCGACTGCTCCACTCACTGATGGTACCAGTCCTTGGGTCTTCGATGGCATCGTCTACCCTCAGGTACCTACCTACCTTGTGCATTCGTGGCATAAGTCCAATTCCTTTCCTATACCTGATTGATGCGCTTCTTTACGGCGGTCACCTACAATGACCAGCTTGGAAAGCTGGTCGCCTACAGCACCGGGCTGTCATGTGAGGCCCAGGCTCGACATATCTGCCTTTCAAATATCGACGGTAGCTGTCACTTAGAGGGGATTCAACCTGTGCATGCGGCAAGCCAATTGTTGCACATAGCCACAACCATGATCTGCCATGTATGGAGCAGTCTACGTCTTTGAATGAATATGAGTAGCACAGCGCGCAAATATTTCTTGATGTCAGAATCAATGCTTCTGACAGGCGTGCGTGTTGACGTTATATTCGTTACTCATTTACCATGAAGACAAGGTACCCTGGGCAGGCAGGCGAGAGGTGGGACCTGACCCGTTGAGCCCACAACGAACTGGAGCAGACACCAGACTCCAGTCTGTTTACAACAACTTCGGCATTGCGGACCGAGTGTCGTCTCGACCCCATGGACGGGGTTGACCTATGCCGGCGGACTCGGACTCTTCTGGGCCGCAAGCGGCGGCGACACGGCACTGCCCGGCTTCCGACCATACACCATGTGCCTGGTGTACAGGTCAGCGTGGCGCGCAACAGATCCAGGGAACAAACTCACAGATTGTAATATGGCAACGCTTTGGGGTCGCGAAGGGCGGCCCTCATGTTCGCCACAAGAACTGTGACTTCGTCAAATGACCAACAGATCTCACATAGGGAAAACAACGAAACCATCGATTGACTGATCATGA